TCGCGCGCGCCTTGCCCGTCTCCAGCACTGCGCCCCCCCTCTCAGATCCTTGCGGCACTGCAACTTCCAAGTACCCTGCCCAGAACTCCCAAAAATGGCATGGCGCCTGTGCCACGTTCGAGGAGGAATTGCTGGAGGAGGATGGACGAGAAGAAGGGACGATGATGTAGGAGGACGAATCAGGAGGGAGGAGGACGAAGGAGGGGGCGAAAGAGGAGGACGAGCAAGAGGAGGAGGAGGAAGAGGAGAAGGTATGGGGGGGGAGGAGGAGGGAGGGGGAAGGAGGAGGAGGAGGAGGAGGAGGAGGAGGAAGAGGAGGAGGAGGAAGAGGAGGAGGAGGAGGAGGAGGAGGGAGGGAGGGAGGAGGGAGGAGACTTCACGCGACTGTGCAAGGCGCGGCCTGTTACTGATACATCCACGGGTACTTGAGCTTCGTGAAAGATTTGATGAAATGTCGAAGTACAGACGGGAACTAGGCAACTTAGTTCGTTATCCTTGTATGCGATACAGCCGGCCCGAATCATAAAAGCCATGTCGAAGCTTTTCGAACGGGGCCCCGACTCCAAACGGTTAGGCACACATGGCTTGAATCAACATGGATTGAGCCAAAATGGCCACGGACCTTGTCTCCCATAGTGAATGTGATGAATCCGCCGAGATTTCGCCACGCCGCCGCCCGCGGGCGCCCAGTTGGCGCCCCGCGCGTCGGGTGGGCCCGCCGAAGTTTCGCCGCGCGACCGTCCGCGGGCGCCCCGCGCGCTGCGCGGGCCCGCCGATCCCCGGGCGCCCGGGCGCCTCGCGGGCGCTCCGTGCGCCGGGTGGGCCCGCCGAGGTCTCGCCGCGCTGCCGCCCGCGGGCGCCCCGCACGCTGGGCGGATCCGCCGAGCCTTCGCCGAGCTGCCACCCGCGGGCGCCTCGCGGGCACCCCGCGCGCCGGGCGCGCCCGTCGAGGTCTCGCCGCGCGGGCGCCCCGCGGGCGCCTCGTGGCCGCCCGCGGGCGGGCCCCGCGAGGAGCGCGCTACGCGGGCACCACGCGGCTCACGCCTCGCAGCTCCTACCGCGCGGAGTGCACGGCGTAGCACGCGCCGCGCAGATCAAATGCCGCACGGCTCACACAGTCGTTGCACCACCTAGCTCGCACCACCCATGTACGTCGCAGAACAGAGCGCAGCACTCAGATTGTGCCACATAGCTCGCACAGCAAAGCTCACGCCACAAAGATTGCGCTACATGCGCGCATACGCACAGATGACACCACATGGCCCACGCCGCATACGTTGCACCACATAGCTTACACCGCATAGCTCAAACCGCATCTATGGCACCACACATACTGCGCAGCGTAGCTAAAACTAGTAGCAGTAGTAATAATAATCATAGAGATAGGCGCAGGCGCAGCGAGAGGCAGGAAGAGGCCAATGGAACGGACGACGAGGGGCGCGGCTCCCAAGAAGGGCGTACCAGGATGCTACGCCCTGTTATCTGCCACGAGCCGCGGCGCCATTCGCTCGCTGCCCGCCCGACCACAGCTCAAGACCCCCACTGCCTCGCGACCACCTCGAAGTGCGCTCTCCCCTCCTGGAGGCAGCGGTACTGCCTCCTCGCGCCGGTCACCTCCTAATGACAGGCGCGCTATCCACAGCCGCCATTGCAAACCATGGGCGGGCAACCAACGGCAGCGCCCTGCCGGGCGAGACGCCACTGCACGCCACTGCACGCCCGCCACCCGCGGGCTTTCGTGGCGAGGCCGAAAAGTACCCCAGCGGCCTCGGCGCGCGCCAAGTTCTGGCACAGGGTCAATGTGGTTGTCTCGAGCGCGCTCTGCGCCATGGCCTTCACATTCTCTGCTTCCTCGCGCCGCTGCTTCTCCTCGGGAGAAGACAGGCGCGGGGCGCCGTGTTGTTGCTGTTGCGCTTTAGTCGGCTGAACGTGGCGGGAATTACCGCCGAGATCCTCCAGGAAGGCTAGCTTCCAGCGCATGGCCTCCTTCCAAGAATGGACGCATGTGGACGGTGGCACGGGGGCCTTCGGTGGAGCTCCCTGAGCTCCCTATGGGGCCACGAAACGCTGTACTGAGTGGGGGGGGACGCATGTGGACGGTGGCACTGGGGCCTTCGGAGGAGCTCCCTATGGGGCTACGAAACGCTGGACTGGGTGGGTGAAACGCAGGGGAGAGAGGGAGGAGGGAGGAGGGGGGGGAGGAGAAGGAGGAGGAGAAGGAGGAGGAGGAGGAGGAAGAGGAGGAGGAGAAGGAGGAGGAGGAGGCGGAGGCGGTAACGTCTCTTCAAAATGAGGACCCAACAACACAGGTTGGTTGGGAAAAACAATGCTGTCAGAACAGATACCCGATGTGTTAGAACAGGGCAGTCGCAGCCAGAAATGTTATGAGAACCTCTCGCGCGGACCACAAAAAGGTTCTGAGAATATTTGTTGGTGGGCTGGCAGGCAAGCCGGGACGTTTCGCCACTGCCCGAGGTATGGGGTCCCGAGTGGTGGGGGCCTCGGGGCGAGGTGCCTCAAACAACGCAGGCCCACACATTGGATCCTTTCACATCCTCGGGCCCCCATCCCTCGGGACCCCCTCTTAAGAACCACTGGCAAGAGAGCTGCCCCACCCAGCGGCCGGCCCGAGCGAGCGCGCGCGGGCGATAGGCGAGGGCTGACAGCGCTCACGCATGGACGACGACGAGGAAGGGTGCGACGAGAGCAAAACAGCAGGGGGTGCGGGTGAATCATCCTGGCGAAGGACCCAGCCATATGCAGTTGTGGGTACCGCAATTGTGAAAATCTTCTTCGGTGAAACTGCCTATGGGGCCACGAAGCGCTGCACTGGGTGGGGGGGGAACGCTGTTCTGGGTGAGTGGTGCGTCAAGTAAGGTTTCCGGGACGCATGCGGACGGTCCCACTGGAGGCTTCGGTGTAACTCCCTATGGGGCCACGAAACGCTGCACTGGGTGGGTGAAAATGCCACACTGGGCGTGCGGGACGCATGCGGACGGTCCCGCTGGAGGCTTCGGTGGAACTCCCTATGGGGCCACGAAACGCTGTGCTGGGTAAGTGAAAATGCCACAATGGGTGTTTCGGGACGCATGCGGACGGTCCCACTGGAGGCTTCGGTGGAGCTCCCTATGGGGCCACGAAACGCTGTACTGGGTAAGTGAAAATGCCAAATTGGGCTTCTGGGACGCATGCGGACGGTCCCACTGGAGGCTTCGGTGGAACTCCCTATGGGGCCACGAAACGCTGTACTGGGTAAGTGAAAATGCCAAATTGGGTTTCCGGGACGCATGCGGACGGTCCCACTGGAGGCTCCGGTGGAACTCCCGATGGGGCCACGAAACGTTGTATTGGGTGGGTGAAAATGCCACGTTGGGTTCTCGGGACGTCTGCGGACGGTGGCACTGGGGCCTTCGGTGGAGTTCCCTACGGGGCCACGAAATTCTGGACTGGGTGAGTGAAAATGCCACAATGGGTGTTTCGGGACGCTTGCGGACGGTCCCACTGGAGCCTTCGGTGGAGCTCCCTGTGGGGCCACGAAACGCTGCACTGGGTGGGTGAAAATGCCACACTGGGCGTGCGGGACGCATGCGGACGGTGGCACTGGGGCCCTCGGTGGACCCCCTGTGGGGCCACGAAACGCTGTAATGGGTGGGTGAAAATGCCAAATTGGGTGTTTCAGGACGCACTCGGACGGTCCCACTGAAGGCTTCGGTAGAGCTCCCTATGGGGCCACCAAGCGCTGTACTGAGCGGGGGGGGCGCATGTGGACGGTGGCACTGGGGCCTTCGGTGGAGCTCCCTATGGGGCCACGAAACGCTGTACTGAGTGGGGGGGACGCATGTGGACGGTGGCACTTGGGGCCTTCGGTGGAGCTCCCTATGGGGCCACGAAACGTTGTACTGAGTGGGGGGGACGCATGTGGACGGTGCACTGGGGCCTTCGGTGGAGCTCCCTATGGGGCCACGAAACGCTGTACTGAGTGGGGGGACGCATGTGGACGGTGGCACGGTGGGTCGCACTGGGGGCGCATGTGGACGGTGCAAGTTCTCTCTATGGGGCCACGAAACGCTGTACTGAGGGGGGACACGCATGTGGACGGTGGTGGGGCCTTCACCCCTGTGGGGCCACAAACGCTGTACCGAGTGGGGGGGGGCGCATGTGGACGGTGGCAGTGCCTTCGTGGAGCTCCCTATGGGGCCACGAAACGCTGTACTGAGGGGGGGGGACGCATGTGGACGGTGGCACTGGGGCCTTCGGTGGAGCTCCCTATGGGGCCACGAAACGCTGCACTGAGTGGGGGGGACGCATGTGGACGATGGCACTGGGGCCTTCGGTGGAGCTCCCTATGGGGCCACGAAACGCTGTACTGAGCGGGGGGGACGCATGTGGACGGTGGCACTGGGGCCTTCGGTGCAGCTCCCTATGGGGCCACGAAACGCTGTACTGAATGGGAGGGACGCATGTGGACGGTGGCACTGGGGCCTTCGGTGGAGCTCCCTATGGGGCCACGAAACGCTGTACTGAGCGGGGGGGACGCATGTGGACGGTGGCACTGGGGCCGTCGGTGGAGCTCCCTATGGGACTACGAAGCGCTGTACTGGGTGGGTGAAACGCACGGAGAGGGGGAGGAGGAGGGAGGAGGGGGAGGAGGAGAGGAGAGGAGGAGGAGGAGGAGGAGGAACGCGGGGACCGTCTCTTCAAAACGAGGGCCCAACAACACAGCTTGGTTGGGAAAAAAGGGGAGACACCCGCTGACCGAAGCCTCTGGCGTCGTCCCCCCAGGACCAGTTTTTCGTCCAGTGTTTCTGTGTCGTGACGGTCCTGAGGCCCAGTCAGAGCCCACGAAACCGATGTTTACCAAAAACCTTGGCTCGTATTCTATCACGATGCAAAGTCTGGTGAGCAGGAGCCAGGCGAGAGGAGGACAGGGAGGCGACTCAGGCGAGAGACAGCAGAACGCTAGGGATCCCGTCGAGGGCCGCTGCTCGCTGCGGGGCCGCCTTGGCGAGGGGCTTCTTCCTCTTCGGCTTCAGGAAGCCGCCGCTGGCGACGAACATGTCCACCTCCTTCTCCGACCACTCCAAGGCCTCAGCTTCCCTCCTCCTCCACCTCCTCCGCCTCCTCCTCCTCCTTCTCCGCCTCCTTCGCCTCCCTCCCGTTCCGCCTCCTCGAGTCCCGCTGCTCCCTCCTCCCGATCCCTCCCCATTTCTGCTACTCCTCTTCATCCCCTTCCTCCTCCCCTCTACCTCCTGCACACCCCCACTCGCGTCCACCCGCCCTGGCCCTCTCCCATCCCCGGAGCTCGCACCGCGCCCGACCAACGACAGGCAAGCGCTCGGCGGAGCGCCGGACGAACAACGGGGCGGGCGAGGCTACACTCTCCCGCCCCCTGGCGATGCGAGGAGGCGGGCTGCGCCACCCTCATCTCGCCCGTCGCAAAGCTCAGCGAACCTCGGCTCGGTCTCCGAACGGCAAGGCAGGCAGACGGCGGCGAACGCGCAGGCGGGGCGCCAGGGCCCGCGTGACGAAGCAGGCGGGCGGGCACGCGGTGAGGGGCAGCGCGGAGGCAGCCAGCGAGGAGCAGGGGAGGAGGAGGCAAGGGAGAGGAGAAGGCAAGGGAGAGGAGGAGGCAAGGGAGACGAGGAAGCAAGGGAGAGGAGAAGGCAAGGGAGAGGAGGAGGAGGAGGAGGAGGAGGAGGAGGAGGAGGAGGAGGAGGAGAAGGAGAAGAAAAAGGAGAAGGAGGAGGGGGAGGAGGAGGGGGAGGGGGAAGAGGAGGAGGGGGAGGGGGGACACGTCCGGAAGGATTTCCGAAGGAAACCTTGCACGATGTCCCAAAGTATATGCATTGCCTCAGTGATCCTCTCCAAAATCCTCAGGTTGGTTCCGGGCAAAGGGAGTCTTTTCGTAATGGAATAGCCACACAATTCAACAATGACTTCATCTTGTGGCTTATGGCAAGTGGCCTCCCTCCCGGACCAACGATGGCAGATGTAATGCATCCTGCCCGCATCCAACACGATCCAGCACGAGCGATTGCACGAACTATGGCGCACAATGTCGAGACCCCTTTGCAGAGGACCTATTCGCCCGAATCCGATCACGAAACCCAAGGACCACCACCGTGCCTCCCCAGTTCAGGAGGATAAAACACGCACGGAGACAAATAAATCTCGATTCCCGGAAACATGAGGAGAATATGGGAAGTTGAGGGGAAGACGAACATCAAGAAAGCTGCTCTGCACCGCGCAGGTCAGTGCCGAACTCGCCAACGGCGATATCGTGGGCCAAGCCAGCTTCGTGGCCTCCCAAAGGGCGTAGTCAGCCGTGGCCAGCATTCACCTCAGGCGTCGCCGCCCTCAAAAAGACTTGAGCGACAACGGTTGCGGCCAACAGAAAGAGAGAACAGAGTTCCGAGAACTGTAGCATATAGTATGTTGGGGCGACGCCCATTCTGCGGAGGTAAGGAGGAGGAGCAGGACGAAGGAGGAAGGGTCCCGGCCTACGTGCCCTGGGCCCGGGAAACCAAGATCGGCTCCGAACGCGTCGAATCAGGCCGAAACGGCACAGGATCGAAGCCGAATCCGATCGGCCGCGCAACATGCACAACAGCGAGATGCAGCCGAGCCGCATCGGAACGTTCGACCGACCGCACGCAGGTGTGACACTGGGCAAGAAGTGCGCGGCTCCTGGAGAGGCACCCCCAAAGCCGCTGCTGTCGCATCGCACCGATCGGGGGCCCCAGTGGGAGCGCGCAGCAGGGGTCACTCTGGCGACCTGGAGAACCAAACCGGACCAGGCCGGCCTGGATCGGCACCACATCGGATCGATCGGATCGTGATGGACCCTGATGGTGACTACCTACCAGACCACCCCAACCCAACCCGAAGACCCGAATTTGACCTGAATTTCGGGTTGGGGGGGGTACGGGTTCCATGTGCTTTTTCAACGTTCCTCGACCCCCCCCCCACTGGAAATGGAGGGCAAATTGAGGCCTTCGGGTTGGGTTGGGGTGGTTTGGTGGGTGGTGAGATGGGGGGGGGGCCTCTGGTGGGAAGTCCAGCGAGACGACGCCCGGGTACCGCGCCATGACCTCGGGAAGTTGCGGCGTGCAGCTGCGACCCCGCCACCCGATCAGGCCGCGCGACCCGGCGCTGCGACGTCACCGTCGCAGGCGTCGCCTCCCCATGCGATCATATGCAGGGCAGGTGGGCTCGCATGACGCTGACGCTGGCATTGGTCTCTGACACCGCGTGGATCTTTCAGCCTCGACAGATCCCGGCTTTCTGGAAGTGAGGATCCTTCGATATCGGCCTGCTCCAGGCCGCTGGCGTTAGGTCGGGCTTGTCCCTCTACAGGAGGACTATTCAAAAATAGTCGAAAAATTGTCTGGGGACGATTGTTGAATATTGTTTGGCCATTTTGGGGAATTCTTTGACTATTTTTTCATTTGTCGTCAAAAATCCCCTGTAGGAGGACAGGCCCGACTTAACCCTGGCGGCATTCATCCTCGAATGCCCGCAAACTGGGGCCGCCGCCCCAATACTGACGCATCTGCGGCTCGGCACTCGATCTGACTGAAGGGGCCCAAGGACACACAAGTAAACACACGCAAATACCAATATTCCCCATGTTCGGATATTTTCTGGGTTTTTGTCTTCCCCCCCACTTCCCATATTTTCCCATATTCCCCTGGGAATCGACGATTCATTATCTTCCCCTCCTGACAGACCCTGTACTGGCTCGGCGTGGCGACACGTGTGCGTCACGCGTCGCGCTTGGTAGCGTAGAGGTTATCGACGTCAGGGCGCCCTGCCTTGTCCCACCCCCAGACCAGAGGCATCTTCCCGAAGTGGGACTTCCCAATCAGAAGGAGTTGCACAGCTGCGTGCGAAGTCCGAACCACGAGGAGACTGCGAGACGCACCGCAGCAAGAGGCCGTGCCAGATCCCCTGGCCCGTTTCTCGCTTCATAGTGGCCAGCGGGCCCAGGACCAAGCAGACAGGCGCTGGCTGGACAAGTGCGTAAGCACGCGGACAGAGCTCGACAAACCAGATGCCTCCTAGATGGGGTCAGAGTAGACGGGGTCGGAGGATCACGCCGCATCGTCGACACATCGGCGATGCCTCGCCGATGCACCAGCGATGCATCGGCGACGTCGGCGATGTGTCGGCGACGCCGGCGTGGAGAACATGTGGCTCCACATCGGGCCGCATCGCCGATGCATCGGCGATGCGGCGCCATCCCTCGACCCCATCTGCTCGGACCCCATCTGGGAGGCCCAGACAAACACTGACTGCCTACCAGACCACCCCAACCCGACCCGCAGACCCCGATTTCGGGTTGGGGGGGGGCACGGGTTCCATATGTGTGTTTGTCAATGTTCCCCGACCCCCACCAACTGGAAATGGAGGGCAAATCGAGGCCTTCGGGTTGGGTTGGGGTGGTTTGGTGGGTGGTGATCCTCCTCCCCCTCCTCCTCCTCCTCTTCCTCGTGCTCCTCCTCGTTATCCTCCTCCTCCTCCTCCTCCTCCTCCTCCTCCTCCTCCTCCTCCTCCTCCTCCTACGACTGCATACGAGAGGACCCTCGGCGCTGCACCCGAGAGCGCCCGCGGCCGACGGGGCCCGCCCCAGAGCAGGGGCCCGCGGCGGCCGCGGCGGCGGCGACGGCGGAAGAGCGCGCGAGCTTTCTCGGACGGCCCCGGTCCCGGCATGGGCCCCCCGCACCAGAATAATAATAATAATAATAAGAATAATAAAAATAATAATAAGAAGAAGAAGAAGAAGAAGAATCATCATCATCATCATCATCATCATCATCATCATCATCATCATCATTATCATCATCATCATCATCATCATCATCATCATCATCATCATCATCATCATCATCATCGTCATCATCATCATCATCAGCAGCAGCATCATCATCATCATCATAACAATAATAATACCGATGATAACAATAATAATACTAACAATCATAATGGTAACAACAATAATAGTAACAATGATAATAATAATAATACCAATACTAATACTAATAATAATAACAATAGTAATAAGAATAATAATAATACGAATAATAATAATAATAATAATAAGTTGTATTTGCTTGTTGTTTGTTTACCGCTACGGCAGGTTCGTGTCGTGGCGACACAGGCGCTGGTTGCTGACCTGACGGGGAAGGATCCGGGGGGACTGGCATAAGGGGGGATGGCATCGACCTGGAATCGGCGATGCATCGCCGATGGAGATCGGCGATCGGCCCCCGACAGTGTGCGCTCCGACCAGCACCTCGATGAGATTCCAGCCCCAAACATCCGGAAGCTCCAGTCTTTTCGATGCGTGGGCCCCAGAGGTCTTCGGGAGCGGCCAAGAGGGGGGTGTCCAAGAGGGGGGGGGGCAAATCATGACCGGCGGCATGTGCGCGGCCCAGCGGGGGGGCCAGGGACGTAATGAAATAAGAAGAGGCGCCATGAAATCTGGGGAAATATCATGGCCCCCGCCATGATATTCCACCCCCCCCTAATCATCACCCCCCTCTTTTCCGCCCCCGAGGTCTGGACCACTTGACTAGGACCGGTTTTCGTCCCGAGGCGTTTTGTTGACGGTTCTGAGGCCCAGCGAGGGCCCCCAGAGGCCGAACACAGCGCCGCTCCAATTTTTTGGGGGCACGTCGGATCTCTGGGGCCGCGGCTGCGACTGGCTCTCCATAGACGAGCTGCGGCATCGGCACCTCCGCACCTCCCCCCTCCCAGACGTCCGGCGCTCCATGCCTTTTGATGGGCTTGGTTTCCACCACCACTACCATAGGTTGGAGGGAGAGGTCCTCCTCCTCCTCTTCTTTCTCCTCCTCCTCCTCCTTCTCCAACATATGGTAGTGGTGGTGGAAATCAGTCCCATCACCTGTGTTTCTCGATGCGCGGACTCCTGGAGGCTTGGGCAGCTTTTCCCCAGGACGGGTGCTTCACCCTCGGCCGCTCTCTGACGATCGCGAGGCCCGGGCGCGGGCACCCCGAAGACGCGAGCAGCCCAAAGCCGGCCGCCCGATGGTCAAGAACTGGCCGCTCGATGGGCCCAAAACTGGCCGCCGAACACGGCCCACCATTTTCGGGGCCGCGGCCTTTCCGGGATCTACCGACCCGGGCCAATCCAGACCTGGGCCAGTCGGGTCCTGCAGGATCCTGCAGGGTCCTGCAGGATCCTGCACCAAACCCTGGTCAGTGCACCCCTGGCCCTGCAAGATCCTGCACAATCCGGCGCTCTTGCTGACCCCCGTTTGCATTGATCCCGTCTCTTGAGCCCCGAGTTCTCCCGGCTACAACATAAAAGGGCCTTCTCGATGGTGGGGCTGCTCGCGGACGCCATGGCCGCGCGCGCGGCCCTCCAGAGCTCCGCGAGGGCCCCCAGAGAGCGGTGGCGGCCTGCCGAGCAGCCCCCCATTCGAGCACCAGCGCCCGCCTGCTCCAATCCTCCTCTTTACCCAACGTCCTTCCTCCCTCCCTTCCGTCATTCCTTCTTCTCTCGATCCCGTCGTCCCTCCCTTCCTTCTCCTCTTCATCCCCCTCCTCCTCCTCCTCCTCCTCCTCCTCCTCCTCCTTCTCCTCCTCCTCCTTCTCCTCCTCCTCCCTCCTCCTCTCCGCCTCCTCTTCCTCCTCCACCCTCCTCCTCCTTTCTCGACCACCTCTCCTCCTCCGCCCCCGCCTCCTCCTCCTCCCTCCTCCTCCTCCTCCTCCTCCCCTCCTCCTCCTCCTCCTCCTCCTCCTCCGCCTCCGCCTCCTCCTCCCTCCTCCTCCCCCTCGGCCGCCTCCCCTTCTTCTTATTATTCCTCCTCCTCCTCCGCCTCCTCCATCCCCTCCTCCTCATCATCATCTCATCATCAGCTCATCATCATCATCATCATCATCATCATCATCATCATCATCATCATCATCATCATCATCAGCATCATCATCATCATCATCATCATCATCATCATCATCATCATCATCATCAGCATCATCATCATCATCATCATCAGCAGCAGCAGCATCATCATCATCATCATCATCATCATCATCATCATCATCATCATCATCATCATCATCATCATCATCCCCATTCCCATCCTCCTCCTCATCCACCTCATCATCATCATCATGATCATCATCATCATCATCATCATCATCATCATCATCATCATCATCATCAGCATCAGCATCATCATCATAATCATCATCATCATCACCATCATCATCATCAGCAGCATCAGCATCAGCTTCAGCATCATCATCATCAGCAGCAGCATCATCATCAGTATCATCAGCATCATCATGAGCATCATCATCATCACCATCAGCATCATCAGCATCATCACACTCGTCATCATCATAAGCATCAGCAGCATCATCAATATCATCATCACCATCACCATGATCATCATCATGATCATTGAAATCATCATCACCAGCATCATCATGATTATCATCAACAGCATCACCAGCATCATCATCATCAGCATCAACAGCATCAACAGCATCATCAGCAGCATCATCAGCATCATCAGCAGCATCAGCATCAGCATCAGCATCAGCATCAGAATCAGCATCATCATCATCATCATCATCATCAGCAGCAGCAGCATCATCATCAGTAGCATCATTATCATGATCATCATCAACAAAATCAGCATCATTGTCAGAGAGAGCGTGATCTACCGCCGCTTCACTGTGGAAAATTCCCCCCCCCTCTTCATCTGGAACCCGGGGGTCCCCCCCCCTTCGAAAATCCCCCCCCCTGCTGAACCCCCCTCCGCACCACTTCCCCCCGGCAAAGGCCCCCCCTTCCCCCGGAAAACCGGGGGGGTCACTAATGGTTCGAACCCCCCCTCCCAACCCCCTCCGGAAAACCGGGGGGGGTCACTACTGGTTCGAACCTTTCCCCCCCCAGAAAACCAGAGGGGGTCACTACCGGTTCGAACCCCCGCCCCCCCCCCCCCCTCCAGAAAACCGGGGGGGGATCACTACCGGTTCGAACCCCTCCCCCCCTTCCCCGCTCACCGCCAGCAAACGACTGCCGGGTCCCTACCACCGTCCGCACCACATCCCC